ATAGAAAATTTATACTACCCATTCCATTTTTATATAGGATTCTGATACTGATGATGATATTATCCCTTCCAATAACTCACATGAAAATTATGACGCTTCTAATTCAAGTTCGTCTGGTTGGTGTCCTTTAAACAGTAAGACTTCTTGTCCAGTGTTCAATTCTGAGTCTTTTGGAATCAACCCAGACATTCTTGAAACACTTAGTGATGGTACACCATATGACTTCTATTCTTTATTTATTGATGACGAAGTCTTAAATTTATTAGTAATTGAAACTAACAGATATGCTTGTGATTTACTTTCAACTCCTCGTGGTCCAAAATCTAGACTTAATAAATGGGTTGATGTTGACATAGTTGAGATTAAGACATTTTTGGGAATAGTTATGTGGATGGGGTTAAATCCACTACCAACTTTGGCAAGTTATTGGAGCAAAAATGCATTGTATCAAACACATATTCCTAAGTATATGACCAGAAATAGATTCGAATTGCTTTTGAGAACTTTTCATTGTTCAAACAATCAAACATGTCCTAGAGGTGACAGATTGTATAAAGTTCGTGGTTTGGTTGATATGCTAGTGATCAAATATAAAATATGCTACATACCAGGTGAAAATTTGTGTATTGACGAATCGGTGATTCCATTTGTTGGACGTTTGTCGTTTCGTCAATACATAAAAAATAAAAGGCATCGATACGGCATAAAAATATTTAAATTATGTATAAATGATGGGTATACTATTGGATTTAAAATATATGCTGGTCAAGAAGCTATCCCGGGAGTGTCAGTTTCAACGAAAATTGTAATGGAGTTAGCTGCAGATTATTTAGATGAGGGAAGAACCATGTTTACTGACAACTGGTACACATCAGTCAGTTTAGCAAATGAACTTTTAAGTCGATCCACAAATCTTGTTGGTACATTACGTTCTAACAGGAAGTTTAACCCAAAAGACGTAATAAATGCAAAATTAAAGAAAGGTGAAATAAAATCAAGCCAAAATGAAAATAATATTGTAATAATGAAGTGGAAGGACAAACGCGATGTACTTATGTTGTCAACAAAACACAAAGACAATTTAATAGAAATAACTAACAAGCGTGCTCAAAAATTATTCAAACCAAAAATGGTAATGGATTATAATAAGGCAAAAGGTTTTGTCGATATTTCTGATTTGAGAAGTTCTTACCATTCACCACTTCGTCGATCTTTAAAATGGTA